ACAAACGCAACAAATTATCGTCCTATCTCAGTTCTACCAGTCTTTTTAAAAATATTTGAAAAAATAAAAACAACAGATTGTACACTTATCTTATTGACAATAAACTTCTTTAAAAAAATCAGTTTGGTTTTCAAAGAAAAAGTTCTACTGAACACGCTATTCTCCAAGTAACGCGCAGTATTGCCGACTCTTTTAGGAATTCTCAATTTACTCTTGGCATATTTATTGATTTGTCAAAAACTTTTGACACTGTTAATCACCATATTTTATTAAAAAAGCTAGAAAGCTATAGTATAAGAGATGAAACCCTAAAATGGTTTAAAAGTTATCTAAGTAACCATAAACAATTTGTTTATAACAAAGAATCTTCGCCTCAATTTTTAACGAATATAACATGTGGTGTTCCCCAAGAATCCATACTTGGGTCACTCTTATTTTTAATATACATAAATGATCTTTACAAAGCTTCTAATTTAGCGACTATAATTTTTGCTGACGATACGAGTTTATTTCAGTCAAACGAAGACATTAAAATACTCTTTAACAATATGACTGAGGAACTTAAAAATATTTCAAATTGGTTCAAAAAAAAATAGGTTGTCTTTAAATACCGATAAAAAAAAAAAGAAAATTCAAAATATCTTGCCTGACTTGTATATTGACAATACAGTAATAAAAAGAGAAAAAATACAAAATTCATAGGAGTTATAATAGATGAAAACTGATCTTAGAGGCAACACATTGATATTTCAATGAAAATTGCTAAAAGCATTGGAGTTCTATCTAAGGTTAAACATATTTTAAATAAACATCAATTAACACAACTATATTATTTATTTATTCATTGCCATTTAAATTATGCAAATATAGTATGGGGAAACGCTCACAAAACCAAACTTAAATCTCTCTATCGACATCTGAAACACAATTAATTTTTCGAATCGTTTTTCAAGCTCAACACCACTTCTTAAAGAAATGAAAGTTTTGAATATTTACAAACTAAATGTTTTGAATATTTTATGTTTTATGTTTAAATGTGTAATGATTGTTATGCAAAACAATTAGCGATTGTAAAACAAGCAAATCCCTTTTGCAAATTGCACAAAAACTTATAACGAAAGTATTCCCTTGAGAGAATTCCGCACGAGGAATTTTCGGTTAAAAGCCAGTGCGCTGAATTTAATTACAGTTGAAGGTTCGACGCGAAACTCTACAGAGTTTTATATTTAAACTAATTGTAATAATTTAATATGAAAATATTGAAATATATAGTAAATAAAAATCATAGTCGAATTCTCTTTATAATAAATATAAAGACAAAACATTACAAAATGTAAAGAAAATATATCACCTAATGTAATTATAAATCTTTATAATTTGAAACCTAAAAACAAATATAATCTTCGTGCCAGTAAAAGTATCAAAGAGCCATATTGCCAAACTAAATTTGACCAGTTTTGTATTTCTTATTGTGGTTTTTCTCTTTGGAATAAAATAATTGTACCTAATTTCGATTTTCCTTTTAAATGGTCTTATTCTTCTTTTAAACGTAAAGTAAAAGATTATCTTTTCAACACAAAATATTTATATCTATTTTTAGTATTTAAGTTGTTTTTTTATTTATTTTGATTTATACTTTATTTTGTTTATTATATAGACTGTGAAAAATATTAGAATATTGTATTGTTTTTGTTATATAGATTGAAAGGGCTTCGTGAGAAGATCCTGTGATCTTCTAGAAGTCCTGCCGTTAATATAATCAATGTAAATTTACCTTGTACATATTCTGGCAAATAAATAATAATAAAAAAATGTCAGTAGACTTATGAACATCGAGAAAATAGTTCATCAAATTTGAATAAGGTAATTGTGCAAATTTAGACAGATATCTTGAAAAATTTCAAGTATATAAAGGTAGTCTACTGATTTTGTTGTTGTATTGTGCTAAAAAAGTATAATTAAAACTCAAAAATATAAATAAGTATTAAAAAAAACTATTACTTGATGTATTAATTAGTGTGCAGTTTTATTTTTGTGCTAATTTTTATCTGACAGTTACATGTTTATTTGTATACATACAAATACATGTATAATTATTTACACACATATAAACATGCTAACATATAAATATATATACTTACACATACATATATACATATACATGTTTATATATATATATATATATATATATATATATATATATATATATATATATATATATATATATATACATATAAATATATATATATATATAAATATATATATATATTTACATATAGACATGTATATGAATATATGTATGTGTAAGTATATCTATATATATATCTATATCTATATATATATATATATATATATATATATATATATATATATATATCTATATATATATATATATATCTATATCTATATCTATATCTATATATATATATATATATATATATATATATATATATATATATATATATATATATATATATATATATATATATATATATATATATATATATATATATATATATCAGCTTCCTGATGAACCTATTCATGGTGAAACATGCTGTTGAAGAGCACAAAAATTAGATAAGTGTTTTTATTAAATTATATATATATATATATATATATATATATATATATATATATATATATATATATATATATATATATATATATATATATATATATATATATATATATATATATATATATATATATATATATATATATATATGATCTAGTAATCCTTTAGGAATTACTAGCAATTTTGATAAAGTTCTATTTCGTTAGTATTTTGCAATTAAAGATGTATATGGATTCTTGATATTTTATTATTTATAGTATTTTTTTATACTAATACCTTAGGTGATCCAGAAAATTTTATCAACGCGAATTCATTAGTAACTCCTGTCTATATAATGCCAGAGTGATATACTCAATATAATAATTAATTCAATATAATTAAATAACATTGATTTTATTTTGTTATATTTTGGTTTTGGAAAACTCTATACCTCTTTTTTTCATTTGTATCTGTTTCATCTAACTTCAAATAAATTTAATGATTTCGAATTTTTTTTTCTTAAAGCGTGTTCTATGATTATTGTCATCTCCTACACTATAACCTGTTTAATTCAAAAGAATAATGCAGCCTAGTACTATAGTATCACTTAAACAAAAAAACTGTTATAAATTTTAATTATAACAAATTTGTAGAAGGCAATATTTTTTATTATTTTATAAAAATAAAAATTTATTCAAAAATATTCAATATATTGCCTTAATTTAGTTATATATATTAGGATAATATTGTAAACTATATTAGGCCAATATTGGCCAGTATATTATCCCCATTATTGGCGCGATATTATTTACAATATTGGCGCAATATTATAAACTGTATCGGGCCAATGTTGCAATGTGAACATTTTGCCAATATTGGCCAATATTGACTTAACAATATTGGCACAATATTGTAGCGCCAATATTGGCAAAATGTTCAAACTGCAACATTGGCCCGATATAGTTTACAATATTGCGCCAATATTGTAAACATTATCACCCCAATATTGCGCCAATATTGTTTGCTACTAGGGTATATTGTTATGTGCAGAAGGTAAACTTAAAAATTAATCCTAATGATATATAGAGCGCTAAATACTAATAATTTTTTCCTGATTTAGTACCACATCTATCCTGCACTTGTGAAATATCATTATGAAAGAGACACAAAAACATTTTTTTGTTAACTCGTGAATCATACAATAAATCGGTACACCGAAATGCCACACACAATATATCCAGAATCTAGACTTTATGTTAACATTAACTTCATTAGAATCTAGATTTTAGGTTAACATTAAGTTGTTTATCCGTTGCCTCCATATTCTAATAGGAGCGCTGTGCAGTGCCTCTAGTACAGGTAAAATTTATATTAAAAATATATGGCGTTCTATTTTATTATAATTTTGATAAAGGAATCCAGTTTTTTTTTTTTTTTAATTAAACCATATTTTGCGCGCGTAAATGATATTTACACGCGTGATACGCTTGGTAAGTACACGCAAAATTTATTTTTAATAGCAATTTTAACTTTTTTTTGACTCAAAACATTATAGTATTGATGTATCACATGTTTTTATATGACAGTTATAAAAATTTTTGCTGTTTTTTCACCTTTCTGACTCGCACATTTACCAATGAAAAATATATTTGGATTTACAAAATCAAAATACCGTATTACATCCCTTAGACAAATCCCTCTACAAAGCTTATTTGCTTTCCACATGGAATGCAAATTGCCTTAAAATCACAGCTATCATTAGTTTTGAAAATTATTTTGAAGTTTAAACTCGCCAGTTAATCAGGTAATATTTTGTCATAATAAAAATATATTATAGGATTTGAATCAAATTATCCGGCCGGATAATTTTTAAATATACGGGTATTCGATATCCGGTCGAATAATAAAAAATGTTATCCAGGACATCCCTTTTCAAAAGGTCTTATTATAATTAGGGCAAAATATATATTTTTTTCTCTCTGCTTTCATATACACCTATCAATGGGAAAATGTTAAAATTTCAATCGAAACTAGTGGAATCTGTTTGTTTTTGATTTTAACTCACAATTAAACAAAAACAACAACATAAATTATTTCAAAACACTTTTTTAAAATTTTAGTAATGAAAATGTAAGCAAAAATTTGGCTTCAAATTAAATTTTGATTTATTATTACCCACATCAATCTTAAAAGATACTAAAACGAGACACTGAGGCGAGAATTTTGTAAATAAGTTTTCTAATAAATAAAATAAGCTCGGAAAAAGACGTTAAAACTGTGAGCTCTTAAAAATTAACCACAAGAAAATTAATTATAATCTATTAGTGGCATTATGTTACATTTAATTTAATTAATTAAGTTCTAGAAATAGTTTTTTTTCTTCCGTTGTTTATGAATTTTGTTTCACTGCGCGCCGACATAAAGTGTAAGCATTAAAACAAATAAATACTTCATGTGCTAATTTTTTTAAATTTATAAATAACAGAAAAATTTTATCCTAAGTGAGCACCTCGTACACCCGTTGAATGGTTATTTAATGACTATAATTTTTACAACAATTTTACTCACAAAGTTAAATATCTGTTTTTTAATTTTACAAATTATTTAAAGGTAACAAAAATATATGCCATAATAAAAAAAAAAAAAAAAAAATTAAGGAAAAATTACAAAATTAAAAAAAGAAATTATAATGCTTTTCATAAAACATAACTATAAAATACAAAATTAAAAAAACTCTAAAAAATTAAAAACTACGGTCCAAATTATTCTAGTCATGAAAATCTTTTACGTGAGAAGCAACTATCTTCCAAAATAGATAAATATGTTTTAATAAAAATTCATCACTAATTGGCTCTAAAGAAATTGTTATTGTTGTTTCTTGTTTATCTTTATACAATTGCAGAGCTTCACTTAGCCTGAAAATAATTTAAAACAATGAAACAAAAAGACAATTAAATAATAAAACACAGTTAAACCCAAGTTAGGTAAACAAAGGTAAAAATCTAGTAAATTAAAAAAAAAAGTATACGCAATGTAATATAAATTTATAAAAACCTTTTAAAGAATGTTGATGTCAATAGAATTTTAGATTGGGTGTTAGAGAAAGCAGGGCCTAATTTACGGGGGCTGAGGAAGAAAGCGTAGGAGAGGGGGAGAAGGGGAGTGTCTAGGAAAATTTTATTCAAAAATTAGTCGGCAAATTGGGACACTGGAGTCAGAAAATTCGGATTTTTAGTTTGCAGTCGGCAAATGTCAGCCAACAAGGACTCTTTTTTTTTTTCAACCAAATTTTTTTTCTGGCCCATAGTCAGCAAAAAATCTTAACTTGACTCCTCCCCCTTCCTTTAAAATTCCTTTGCGACGGCCCTGAGATCAACTAGTGATTTCCAGTATATAGGCTAAATCATTTGTACAACAAACACATGCTTTCGAATAAGTTTGATTGCTCAAACTTAAATATCAAATTAAATTTTGGCTGTTAAGAATATAAAGAAATACTAATATTTTAGCAACTGTTTTCGATACTTAATGTGGTACAAAAGTGTCCAGTAAACATTATCTTGTGGCTATAAAAATTATCTTGTGACAATAATCTCCAAATAATTGCAGTTATAATTTATAACTTAATACGATTACATTTATTGATGCAATAACTGCACTCTTTTAGTTCTAAAATAAATGTCTGATTATTTTTCACAAGCAGTCACAAAAAATTGAGAATTTTTTATTAGGGTTTTAAGATAATGTGAATACAATAAAAATGTCAACAATGGAAGCTTTGATGGAAACTGGATCAATTTTGTGAAAATGGTTACGTCAGGCAATACTTCACGGTTTCCCCAAAATATTTACCTATATAATTTTTGTAGGATAGAGTGTGAAAACATGAAACAGAATTTTTACCTTGTTAAATGTGATAACTACGAGTTAGGATCGTCCATAAAGTACGTACGCTTTTATTTCGACCTCAACCCCTCGTCCCATATTTTGCCATACGCTTTTTTGAGTACCCTCCCCCTCCCTACAAGTAACTACGCTTTTACCCAGCATTTTTTTATGCTTTTTTTAATTTAGTGTCTTCTTACTTTTATAATTGACCCACTGCTCCCCCATCACATATACCTGTCTTCCTCTCCGAGCGTACCTACTATAAAGACGATCCATTACATTATGGTGAATTTAAAAAAAATCTAAAGTTCGGTTGTTTAGATTTTTATAAACTTTTTGTTGATTATTAAAAAAAATTAATCTATAAAATGTATTATGTTGAGAATGTAACGTCACTCCCCCTCCCCACCCCCTTTATCAAAATAGATAAAAAATTTTTTTTCGTAAAACTTCGATTACATAAAAAGTATAAATTGAGGCTTATTAAGAAAATTATCTGTTTGTTATTAAGTAAAGATAAAATAAAAATGTATGAAACTTGTATTAACTACATCCGCTCTCATAATTAGGAAAAAACAACCGTTTTATCAGTTTATCATTAAGTTTAACATGAAATCGCTTGTACAATATCATATCGTTTAACATCAGGTTAACACAAAATTTAGAAGCATGGTTCAATAAATCGATAAACGTGCGAAATTTTAGCATAAAATCGACAGACTTTTCTTCAAAAATATTCCTCTTCAAAAATTTGAAAATTTTTGCGATCTTACTTTTAGAATAAAAAATTTAAAATAAAACTTTGGTTTTTATTTTAATTGATTTGTTTACAATTTAAATGAAAGGTTTGTATTTGTAGTTTAAATTGAACATTTTGTTTTCAACATTTTATAATGAATTTAAAAAAAAAAAACGTTCCCTTTATTTTTGCATTTTTTATGTATTATTCAATTAGGAATTTCATTACATGGACTTATATATAGGCAACTAAAAAATAATATAAATCCAATTTGCATAAAAGTGGACATTAGAGGTTTTGATTCCAAGGTCTTCAATTGCTTTGTTTACATTTGAAATAAATTTTAATTATCATTATTATTATTTTTTTTTTGCAATATAAAATTTATAATCTTATTAAAACGGCCGTGGCGTAGTGGTCAGAGCGCATAATTTTTATTATTTTATTTAGAGCTTAAATAAAAAGTTCGTTTTTAATTTATTTAAAAGAGAAAATAAACTTTAGTTTTAAAATTTTGAGGTCGACATAAAAATGCCGATTGCAGACACTGTCAAGTTAGGCAGTTAGGCAGTATTGCTGACTGCCGACCCGAGTGCTGCTTCATTGAGTATTAAAGTTATCATTGGAAAGAAATATTTCAAAAGGTGTCTAAAGCTTCCCAAAGGTTTAAAAAGAAACTTTAAAAAAAACCAATTGTCTTCGAATTTAACTTCTATCCTATCTATTTCTTTTTTACCACCCTCGCAAGTTGAACTTTAATTTTTAAAATATCCATAAAAATTTTTAAAAATTTTCCCAATATTTATCAGATTCTGGATAAGAAACTTATTCCAGAATCAAGATAAATTAAAAATTCACCAAGGCAGATATCCATTCAATCCTGCTAAAGTGGAGATTTGGAGCTTTGTTAATATTGACTTGACTGTTTTAAGAAATTTAGATTTCAATTCACTTCCTATTCAGCACACATACTAGACATAGTAATACCATTTTTTTGACACAAAAGTAGCTGCACAAAACATTTTCAAGTTTATTTTCTTTTGAATGTAAACTATTCCAAAATATTATAGATAATAGATTAGTGCCAACTGTATCATTTTTCATTTTTTGAACTTTTAGTATTCACTCACTGGAGAAGTATTCTTGTGCGTGTATATGAAATATACATACACGAATTGATTTTAAATTTTGATCAAAGTCCCTTAATGTTTCATTTTAATAAATGGTTACAATGGCTGTTAGTCAAAAACTGTATGCAATTTAGAACAAATGACTTTTAGAAGGAGGGACTGTTACTCTTTTGAAGACTGTACTGTACACCATTTCCTTTTGTGAAATTTCCAAACAGAACCTTTTATGTATTCCAATAAAAGCAACTAGAGTAAAAAAGCAGAACTACTAAAATCAGTAAGAGAAAGCCATCAACTATTGCATATAAAAGGTAAAAAAGAAATAGGCTTATTTATAAACAACAAGGCTCTACAACAATCAAAATCAGAATCTTGTTTTCCGCTCAACAAAGGTGTTGACAAAAATTTATGATTATTTCAAACAAAAAAAGGTGTGAAAAAATAGTGAAACAATTACGAATGGCTGAAAAGCTGACTCTAGAGTGAGTCCCTGGTGAATAAAAAACTTTCAACTGCATAAATGGACAAAATAAATTTTTAAAAAATTATTTTATTCAATGTAGTTTTTGCATTTTGATTTACAACTAAATTACTTTTAATACTAAAAATTAGCAAAAGTTAAACTCAATAAAACGATAAAATAAAAAAATAAAAAAAATAAACGTTATCTTACGTTAAAGAAATATCAGCTTCATTTCTTAATGGCAGCTCTAAAACAATGTACTCAGTGATTAGATTTATTAATTCCTTACTGTCGACATGATGCAACGTGTTTTTCATTTTTTCTACCACTTCCTTCTCAAGGTCCTCACTCATAAAAAATTCTTTTACATGAAATGGAACCTAAGAAATTAAAGGAAAAAAAAATAACATTCATTAAATACAATAACAAAAATAGAAGAGATTAAAAAAAACTTATAATAAAATACCTGTTTACTTGCATATATTCTATATGCTTGTTCAACAGTCAACATGAGCCATACAGAGTACAAGTGAGTCAAACGTATATAATCGTGCATCTTAAAAATATTTATAGTTATACATGCACATGTTATATACATACATATATACACCTAAATAAAATTAAAAATATATAAAAAAAAAACGAACTTTTCCGCTGACTATGTAATCCTGTTCATTCATGCGAAGAACATTGGTTAGATAATCTCTTAAATACATGTTACAATCACCACCTGTAGATATTATTATACCAATAGCTGTTTCAACAGCTCGCAAAGCAACAGATACATCTGCTATATCAATCATTTCATCTAGCATTCTTTTTTGTTCAGAATAAGGTATAACAGTCTATAAAAAAGTTTTCCAATTAAAAAAAATTAATAATAGTAATAAAAATGAGAATATAAATAAAAACAATAATATATATATATATATATATATATATATATATATATATATATATATATATATATATATATATATATATATATATAACATAATATAACAATAAAAACAATAAGAATTGACAAAAATAGTTTTACTGAAATAATTTCACTGCAGTCAGAAAGAACTTACATTAAATTTATCCTAATATCAAAAGAAAAAAAGAAACTTATGAGATAAAAAGAAACTGAGGAGATAGAAAGCAACTGGAGAGATAAAAAGAAACCTAAACTATTGTGTCAACTTTAGGTGTGATGTTCTACACACAGTTGTAAGAAGAATATAAAAACTTTAGAAGCCAAAAACTTTAGATGTCACAGTTGTGTGTAAATTGTAAAAAGAAGAGTTGTTTCACCAACAGTATAACAGTAAATTATAACTCACTAATTTACCTTTAACATAATTTGATGAACTTCAGTAAATATTAATTTTTTATAAATTTTTAATAACACCAACAAATCTGAATCTGTCTCTAAAGTTAGTTAGTAAAGCTAAGTTAAAAACTATATGCCAAAAAGGATGAATGATAAATTATGATAAAGCAGACAAAAGAGGTTTCACCTAAACTTAAAAATAAGGTCTAATTATATAAGTATTAAATTAATATAAAGAGCATTATGATAATAAAAGTTAATACTGTTGAGATAAAGTGCAATATCTATGGCAGACATTAATTAACAAATAAATATTTTAATATCTTTAAATATTTGAATTGCTGGATCAAGTTGCCTCTTAGCGGTATAGTCTCCAAACCCAAAATTTCCAATCTTTTTTTGTATTCAAGATGTTTTAGTTCTGGTATCATTTTGGTTG